GTACAAAAATATTGCTCGGGCATGTAGGAATGAAATCAAGAGGGCCAAATCACACTTGGAGCTGCAGCTAGCGAGAGATGTCAAGAGTAACAAGAAGGGTTTCTTCAGGTATGTTGGCAACAAGAAGAAAACCAAGGAAAGTGTGGGCCCCTTAATGAATGAGGGAGGCAACCTAGTGACAGAGGATGTGGAAAAAGCTAATGTACTCAATGCTTTTTTTGCCTCTGTCTTCACGAACAAGGTCAGCTCCCAGACTGCTGCGCTGGGCATCACAACATGGGGAATAGATGGCCAGCCCTCTGTGAAGAAAGAGGTGGTTAGGCACTATTTAGAAAAGCTGGACGTGCACAAGTCCATGGGGCCGGACGAGTTGCATCCGAAAGTGCTAAAGGAATTGGCGGCTGTGATTGCAGAGCCATTGGCCATTATCTTTGAAAACTCGTGGCGAACGGGGGAAGTCCCGGATGACTGGAAAAAGGCTAATGTCGTGCCAATCTTTAAAAAAGGGAAGAAGGAGGATCCTGGGAACTACAGGCCAGTCAGCCTCACCTCAGTTCCCAGAAAAATCATGGAGCAGGTCCTCAAAGAATCAATCCTGAAGCACTTAGAGGAGAGGAAAGTGATCAGGAACAGTCAGCATGGATTCACCAAGGGAAGGTCAGGCCTGACTAATCTAATCGCCTTTTATGATGAGATTACTGGTTCTGTGGATGAAGGGAAAGCAGTGGATGTATTGTTTCTTGACTTTAGCAGAGCTTTTGACACGGTCTCCCACAGTATTCTTGTCAGCAAGTTAAAGAAGTATGGGCTGGATGAATGCACTATAAGGTGGGTAGAAAGTTGGCTAGATTGTCGGGCTCAACGGGTAGTGATCAATGGCTCCATGTCTAGCTGGCAGCCGGTGTCAAGTGGAGTGCCCCAGGGGTCGGTCCTGGGGCCGGTTTTGTTCAATATCTTCAGAAATGATCTGGAGGATGGTGTGGTTTGCACTCTCAGCAAATTTGCGGATGATACTAAACTGGGAGGAGTGGTAGATACGCTGGAGGGCAGCGATAGGATACAGAGGGACCTAGACAAATTGGAGGATTGGGCCAAAAGAAATCTGATGAGGTTCAATAAGGATAAGTGCAGGGTCCTGCACTTAGGACCGAAGAACCCAATGCACAGCTACAGACTAGGGACCGAATGGCTAGGCAGCAGTTCTGCGGAAAAGGACCTAGGGGTGACAGTGGACGAGAAGCTGGATATGAGTCAGCAGTGTGCCCTGGTTGCCACGAAGGCCAATGGCATTTTGGGATGTATAAGTAGGGGCATAGCGAGCAGATCGAGGGACGTGATCGTTCCCCTCTATTCGACATTGGTGAGGCCTCATCTGGAGTACTGTGTCCAGTTTTGGGCCCCACACTACAAGAAGGATGTGGATAAATTGGAGAGAGTCCAGCGAAGGGCACCAAAAATGATTAGGGGTCTGGAACACATGACTTATGAGGAGAGGCTAAGGGAACTGGGATTGTTTAGTCTGCAGAAGAGAAGAATGAGGGGGGATTTGATAGCTGCTTTCAACTACCTGAGAGGTGGTTCCAGAGAGGATGGTTCTAGACTATTCTCAGTGGTAGAAGAGGACAGGACAAGGAGTAATGGTCTCAAGTTGCAGTGGGGGAGGTTTAGGTTGGATATTAGGAAAAACTTTTTCACTAGGAGGGTGGTGAAACACTGGAATGCGTTACCTAGGGAGGTGGTAGAATCTCCTTCCTTAGAAGTTTTTAAGGTCAGGCTTGACAAAGCCCTGGCTGGGATGATTTAATTGGGGATTGGTCCTGCTTTGAGCAGGGGGTTGGACTACATGACTTCCTGAGGTCCCTTCCAACCCTGATATTCTATGATTCTATGATCTCTGGCAGGAAACCAAGCAGAACGATATCTCTGCGCTATCTGGGACTTACTGAATTATACACCTGCACAGAAAAGAAAAATTTGCAAAGAACGCAACGTGGCCCTTGAGTCTTTTAAGGTATATAGAGACTCATCAGTCTTTTCTGCAAACAGCTTCGATCTGTCAAAAGGAAGGTCCCTCAACTGTATTTTGGACTTCCCTCAGAAACCCCTATAGCTGAAGCCAGGACCTCTTGCTAAAGTCAAACTGTTTGCTTGCCTTGCACCAGAGATTAACCAAAATCTGGCTGTGCCCCTATGACCAGCTAAGCAGCACAACTGACAAAGGAGCTCTTTGTGTCAGTAACTATTACAAACACAAGAGAAGGTTCACTCTGCTTGCAGCTCAGTGGTCAGAATAAAATGGAAAGATTAAATGCCAAGCAGCTGTACTTGCATCAGAGAGGTAAATTCCATTTCCTGGGAGTCAACTGGCCAGTCTTAGGATAGAAAAGAGAAAGGACACCATCCCATGGGATTGTGGGATAGCAGTGGCAGACTCTCAGGACCCAAGTCTGGCAGACCTGGGCCCAAGCTGCATCCATACTGCAAAATGATGGAGTTTGGACCCAAGTCCCCGTGGGGACCAAGCTCGAATCCTCTACTACTGCAGAGTCCTGGGACCTAGAGCTGAGTCAGACAGATTGTGTGTAGATGAAGGGGGGATTTGGGCTCAAGTCTGAGTCTGAGCTTACTCTGCAGTGTAGGCATGCCCTTGGACTACTGTGTTAACTCTTGCACTCTCAGTCAGTCTATTCATTTCATCTATACAACCGAGCACACAGCAGCAATACTACAACTACAAAGAAGCTGCACACAACCACATCAAGAAGCGGCAACCTTCCAGCCCAGCACTGCTTCTACAACAGAATCACATTACCCAATACTTTGACATGCCCTGATGAGATGAAGCACTGCATTTAATTTTTTCTTGTAAAACTTTTAAATGGGATACCAAAATGCTATTATAATTTAAGGTATCAAACAAGTTTCTCCTGTTAAACACCAGACTGTTTAAAGTTTAAACTATGTACTCATGGAAAGGAAACATAAGCTAACCTTTGTAAATGGAGAGAAATATTGGGACTTAATTTAAATTTAAGATTCTTAATAGTCTTTAATTTGCCTGTCTCAGGACCACTCCTTAAATGGCATCTTTTAAATAGCTGAATTTAAATATTTCTTTGGTTTCATAAGACTTAGTTAATATCACTCACTATATGACCATATTTAAACTGTTTAACCAAATACAATTCTCCAACCCTAAAACAAAATTCCTTGTCTCATCTACATACTGTTTTAGTGCTCAATGATACACTAAGACAGGACTCTACTGATTTGGGAACTAATATACTTTGATATTATTTTATGTAGAGAAGAGTGTCTCCACCAGAGAGGGCCCAACTCTTATGGTGTAATCTCCATTAAAAACTCTCCATAGATACAAATACAGAAAAGATTCCAACTGAAGTAAGTGAAGCATTTATTGCTTATGCTCTGTTTTTATTTTATTTTCTCCCTTTCCCTTTCATTAGTAATAAACTAATCCTAGTTAATAATTGTGATTATTTTGCTTATCTTTAGTTGTGCTGTCCCTCGAGCATAGCAAGAACCCCATTTAACTAAAATAATACGTCACATCCCTGAAATGGCATTAAGAGAAACAATTATTGTTTCTTGTTTCTCAAGATTATAACTTTTTAGTAATTTTTAGGATGTTACTTGGTGCTCAATACCTTAAAACATCCCTTTCAACCACACAAAAGTTTTTTCTTCAGTAATGCATGCTAAGCAACTGACTTACTGAGATCATCCCATTGCCCCTATCACTTCAAAAATGAAAATTATTTATGATTTTCATTACATGTTTGAACAAACAAATTTGAAACTACCTATGCAGATGGCAACATAGAGGGCAATATTCCTCTAGATGCAGATAGCCAATATAATGCCCTCTGCAGCACTTAAATCCTGTATTGAAGCTATGTTGGGTGATGGCAGTGTGGTGGCTCAGGTGGGGTTGATAAAGAGAATGGTTGTCCACGTGGGACCAACATGAAGGGCAGGGCTGGGGTTAAGTCATGGGATTATAACAGAACCTGTTCAAATGGTCTGGAAGATTCAAACACCCTTGTTTTCTTCCTTTCCTCAACTCATCCTTTAATGTCCCATATTAGGCCACCTTCCTTTAGAATGAGCAGGGCCTGGACACAATTCCCTCCAGAATCTATCAGCTCTGATCCTGAAATCTTTAAAGGAAAAGAGGGAAGGATTTTGCAAAGCAACATGGGGGCTGTCTCTGCACCACTTCCGGCCCCTGCTAGGAAGGAAGGAGCTATCTTGAGTTTTGAATTTAGATTGCCCATGATGTGTCACACGTGGCCAGCCAGGCTGATATAAAATACATGCATTTTAAATTAAATATACTGACTCACATGAGAAAGTCTGGGGATAGAAGCAGCAGAGCTGGAAGTAGGATTATACCTTGATCAGGATTCTATATCTCATCTCAAAAATGTAGGAAAATAATTTTATATCAAGAACATAATTTCTAATATTTTACATTACACACATACAACCACACTGGATCAGATTAGTCATCACTCAGATCATCCAATCCTGCATTATGACTCTGGTACAGGTTTACATCAGATGCTTCAGCAAACTCCCACCCTCCCTGCAGTAATGTATCCAGCTAATTGTGAAATGATTGGTAAGGGACCCTTTTCTGCCCCAAGTTCACCAATTTATATTCTACAGTGTAAGGCTAAGTTATCCTTCACTATATCAAATATCTATTTTTAGAGAGTTAGAAGACTGAGAGGAACCAGACATATCCATGAACGCTTCTGAGAGGAAAGTGCTCTGACAATGCCCAATCATTGCAGCCAAATAAACTTCCTCGCATTGAATATCAACCTTGTATATTGAATTAATGACCTCCTAAGGTCTCTTCCAACCCTAATCTTCTATGATACAACACTTCAGAAATTTGAAAATGCTGTTACTTAACTGATTTATCTTTGAATAGGAAAAGACAATAGATATAAACAGAGGCTTTTTCTTACCTCATCAGAGGATCCGTTTTCCACTCGGAAACGTCCAGCTCTTTGAATGGCTCCATCAGCATCACTAGATATAAGCTGTGAAAAAAAGAGTCAAAGTTAGAGATACAAAGTTCTGACTTCAAAAGCCTCCACCTAATCAGAAATTAAACAACAAAACCAGCTCAGTTTGGCTTCCACCATCTTAGCCTGAGGTGTGCAACCTGTCCTTCCCCTCTCCCCTGAAGATAAGCTCAACTCAGAGTAATAATTATCAGTTTGGCCAACAAAAGACAACTTCCACCAAAAATTTACTCATTGTAAGGACTCAGGCAGGGAAGGGGCTATTGTGTACACCTGCTGGAGTGGCTTGCCCACTACAAATTACAAGTTTTTTTGGTCTCAAATTTTGGCTGCACTGACATGAGGTCCCCGACTATGAGAGATGCAATTCCACTAACTGATTACCAGAAGGCAGACAGTTTTACACAAGGAGAGAAAACTAGGCTGCTTGGACCACGACACATTAATACTGTGACGGGTTGGACCCCCCTCCTGGGGTGCCACCTGATGTGCTGGGGTCTCACTGAGCCTGCCCTTCCACCAGCCTGGGTTTCCTCACCTTGTTTTTGCTGTGCTAGGCTCTCAAGCCTTCTCCAGCACACACGCAGGTAAGGCCACATCCAGCTGCAGACAGACTGAAATCAGCTCTGTGTGGGAAGACTTAGCTAGGAGAATGGCCAGCACTCAGGTTCACACCTCCTTTGGGGTATAAACCCAAAATAATATGGTCTTGCGCTGTACAGAAAGATCTGCACAGTGCAAGCTCATAAGAATTGGCACTTTCCCTCAATGTGGAGAGAGATATGCACAGCCTTTTGAATCTTACAAACTGGGTTTTTAAATAAACTAAAAACAAGTTTATTAACTATGAAAGGTAAATTTTAAAGTGATTATAAGGGATAGGAAACAGAACAAAGCAGATTACTGAGCAAATAAAACAAAACACGCAAACTAAGCTTAATACACTCAAGAAACAGGTTACAAAATATAATTTCTCACCCTAAATGTTGTTTTAGGCAAGTTGCAGAGTTTCTGTAGCTTAGAGTTCCAGTTATTTCTCTTTACAGACTGGACCCCTGTCTCAGCCTGGACTCAAACCTGCCTTTCCCTTTGGGTGTTTTTAGCAGTCTTCCTTCCTGGGCAGGCAATGGAGGAGAGTCCTGAATGCCTTCCTTCCCAGCCTTAAATAGAATTTACATAGCGCAGGAAGCCTTTGTTTCCAGTGGAAAAGTACCAGCAGTATCCAAGGTGGTATTTTGTACCAGGTGACCTTATCACCTGACCCTGCAGTGTCAAAGCAACCATGAAACCATTATTTGCAATGTCCCACACGAAGGAACTCCAGGGAAGATGGGAAATCCACATCTTTGAAGACCCATTGTCTTCTCCCAAAGGCCCATTAAGGCTGGTTGCTTACTGTCTGGTGGGCATTTCCCAAGTACACACATAGTTGTAATTGTTACATAGACAATTTTCCTAACTTCAGATACAGAAAGGCCTCAGAGACGATAGGACCTGTAGTGCACAGAGGTTATTTAGAGCCCATTCAACCAAATGTGTAAACATCCCCATCACTTCTCTCCAATGTATCCGTAGCCAAGATTCGTAAGGCTGTCACTTAAAATTCAATTAATACATTTACTCAGTGCTACTCTTTGTACTCTGGAGCTGCGTCATCCACTCATTTTGGCAGGATGAAAACATTTTTGAGGGAGTTTTCTCAAGTCTTATGACAATTGTCAGACAATTGACAAGCTGAAACTAGACAAATTCAGACTGGAAATAAGGTGTAAATTTTTAACAGAAAGAGTAACCATTGGAACGATTTACCAGCGGTCATGGTGTACTCTCCATCACTGAATTTTTAAATCAAAACTGATTGTATTTATAGAAGATAGGCTCTAGAAATTTTGTGGGGGAAGCTCTACGGCCTGTATTATGCAGGAAGTCAGACTAGATGAAAATAGTGGTCCTTTCTGGCCTTGGAATCTATCAGTCTATGAATTTAGATACTTGCTCCCATGCTAGTTACATGATTCCTGGCCTTAAACTTTCCAGCAATTAGAAACCTTTGCAGATTCACATTGTCAGAGGTGGTGTCCCTCTGCAAATTGGTGAACACAGAGTCAATCTCTTATCTCTCTCTAAAAGTGCAAAGTTTCAAAAAGTTCAATGAATAGAAGATTGTTGAATAGATCTGGACAAGGAGAAGAAGTCTGGAGATACATGTGAGAAGGGAGGGACAGGCAGGAGAAACAAAAGTGAAACTGTTTGAGCAGCATATTACAGAAGTCTTGAGGTCTTTCTGAGCATAGCCTTCATTGATTTGAGATCTACCATACTGTTGGGAACACTGGGGCATGGCCACTAGGTAACTCGAGGGAATGGAAGACCACGAGTGTCGATGAAGCCCCCTTGCACTAGGCCCCGGTGTCCTTGGCCCCCCTCCTCCTGCCTGGAGGCACTCGCAGCAGCTCTGCGTGCTAGGCCCAAGTGTCCTTGGCCCCCCCGCCTGGAGGCACACACAGCAGTTATGCTGAGAATCTGCAACAGTATGTTGCAGAGTCAGACTGCCTGAAACTAAGCAAGGCCAAACAGGGGAGATATGGAAGAACAATGCTGAATAAAGCAGCTTTATGTATAGTTTAACAAATGATACAGAGAATCAGGGAACTAGCTGGGAACTGGATTGGCTGGCTATATGGATACTTGGAGCAGCTTGCTATTGGATAAGTATGCTGGGAAAAAGGATGTATAAAAGCCTGTGTAACTTCCTGCTCTGTTGTGCAGGATTTGAGATTTTATTCTCCCTGTACCTTTTTGCAGCTGCAAATAAACTTTTCTGCTTCTCCACCCCGTTGTGATTATTGGGTGCAGCACACCGGGTAACGAACCACTCAAGCTGTTGTTCAGCCTCTCGGCACTGGGTGCCGGCAACAATACCATTCTCTCACTTTAATGGAAAACCTGTAATGGTAGGAGTCATAAAAGAGACCTAGTTTGGGAATAAGAACCATTCAAGAAATATATGTTTGCTACTTATGTTTTAAAGACAGTCACACCAGTGAACTGGTGGAAGTCACTTAAGCACTTGGATTCAGAGACCGTAGAAGTGACAATCTCACTTTTAAACAGCAGTAGCTTCTTCTGCCAGTGTAGAAAGAATATTTTCTTCCTTTCAACTAATTCATTCCAAATTTAAAAATTGTTTGGGACCTGAAAGAGCAGGAAAGCTTGTTTTTCTTATCCATATTAGGACAAACAGGAAAATAAAGGTGAAGACAACTGAGTTAGCTGCAGAAGCCAATATTTTACATTTCTCATGTTGACCTGGCTGACACCGTTGATTTAATTTTTGTTTTTGTTTTTTTAAATATTTAACTATTTTAGTTAAAAATAATTTTAACAAAAACAAACCTGATTTTAAAAAACTTGAATGTTTAACTAAATTCAAAAATTCATATGCTTGTTTTGTTAAAATATTATATGTTTTCTGTTGAAGAAAAAAGTCCAGAATACATAATGTTGCTGTTTTAGTTAAATAAAACAATTGAAATGTCTGTCTGGTGATGTTCTCCTCCTAATAACAGCATAGCAAGAAATCCTCCAAATATTAATGATTAAGCCGTTGAATTGGAGATAGTTCACCTCCCAATGACTTCATAAATATGTGCTTCAATTACCTTTGGTATATGAAATGATTTAACCGGATGATTTAACTGGGAATTGGTCCTGCTTTGAGCAGGGGGTTGGACTAGATGACCTTCTGGGGTCCCTTCCAACCCTTATATTCTATGATTCTATGATTCTATGAAATTACCAAACAATCATTCATTTTCTGATATAGCTGTAAATTTAATCTGAAAAGTTTTCAAAATAAATCACTTTAAAAATATGTGTGTGTACCTTCTAAAAATGAAACCTATATCTATCTCTGAGTTGTGAAGAATATGTATTAAGGTTATAACCAACAAGAAAGCACTTTTATGTAGAAATTCATGATTAAATCAAGTCTTCCTGACTAGTGATTTAAATCAATTTCATTTAAATCAAATCCACCCTGTAAGCAACACATCTCGATGACTCGCAAGCAGTATCAATGGAGGCGGGCTCAGAGTTCACAGTCATGCAGCTTGTAGCACAGCTCTGCCAAAGCCACCATCATCTCGCGCCTGCCGAGTCAGTGCGTAGTACAGTGTGAACATATGGATGGACGACTAGGTGGTTGCCCGACAGATCTCTTAGATCAACACCTGCGCCAGGAAGGCTGCCGAAGATGCCTGCGCTCTAGTGGAAAGAGCCGTCAAAATCGCTGGCAGGGGCACTTTCGCCAGCTCGTAGCAGTGGCAGATTGACGCCATGATCCAAGAGGAAATTCTCTGGGCTGACACTGGGCAGCCCTTCATCCTGTCCATGACAGCAACAAACAACTGCATTGACTTATGGAACAGTCGCACTCTATTGATGTAGAAGGCCAGCACCTGTCTGACATCCAGTGTATGCAGCTTGCATTCCTCATCTGATGCATGAGGCTTTGGACAGAGGACCGGTAAGTAAATGTCCTGGCCTGTGTGGAACTGGAAAACAACCTTCGGCAGCAAACCCGGATGCTTGCGCAGCTGGCCCTTGTCCTTGTAGGAGACTGTATAGGGCGGCTCCGACATGAGCACCCTGATCTTGGACACCTGCTATGCCGACATTATGGCGACCAAGAAGAAAACCTTCCGGAAAAGGAGTAGGAGGGAGCAGGGAGCTAGGGGTTCAAAAGGAGGGCCCATGAGCTTTGAGAGCACCAGATTCAGGTCCCAAGGGGGAACTGGGTCTCGGACATGTGGGTACAGGTGCTCTAGCTCTTTCAGGGATCTGCCCTAAAGCGGAGGGTGAAATGCAGAAATAGTTGCCAGGTGCAACTTGATCTCGTTGCTTCCCGCAGCTCCCATTGGCTGGGAATGGCGAACCGCAGCCACTGGGAGATGCGGAGGGCTGTGCATGCAGACAGTCAGTCAATTTAAACAAAATGTCTTGTGGCCCACCAG